GGGGGCGTCACCAGCTTCCTCTTCGAACAACGGATTGTCTTTGGGATCACTGATTTCTTCCTGGACTGGGTCTTCTCTGGCAGGTGAATGTTTTAACATTTGCTATCTCGTCTTGATGATGGTGATGTTCTTCATCGACTGCTTCCATCCTCGTTGGTCCCTCCTTCCAGCTGTTCAGGTGACAGGTTCAGGCCTTTACAGTTTCTCACAGGTCAGGCGTTGCAGTGGTAGAAGCAGAGGAACATGGTCAGTGGGCTTGATCCAGATGTAAGGTTTGGGCACTTCCTCGATCACTTCATAACGCTGATCCTGGACCTTGTTGTTGATTTCCACTGTGTACAGACCTGTGTGAGCGCTAGTCATGTCTCTGACTTCCAAACGTCCACTGGTTATGTCCAGGGTTGTGTGTTCTTTAAACAGACCAAAGTAAGTCAAATCAACTTCATTCTTCGCCCACTCTGCCAGCAGATTACCGTTGTGTTTCCACAGGATGTTGGTGATCGGTCCAGGGACAGGAGGCCCCAGCTCTATGTTACCACCAACCACAACGTATTTATCTTCAGCCAGAGCAGAGTTCAGTGCCGCCAAAAGCCCCACTGTCAGGAGCCAAAACCCAGTGTGTGTCTCCATGTCCACAGGTCAGTAAAGGACTGAAAGAAAAACACTGAACACTGTAAGTGTTTCAGAAGACAAAATCCTCACATCAGCAAAAACAAGTTCTTTGTAAGTCACCACAGACTCACCTCTTCACAGTTCCTTTGGTGTCCTTCTGGTGCCGTTAGATTCCGTAGTGGTTATACTGCGCTGTTATTGCACTATTTGAACAAGTCATTCTGATCTGCCCCTTAGTGTGATGCCAATGGAGGGAACATGGCAGGGGGTTGTGGCAGCCACCAGTGTTTCCAACCAATCACAGTTTTGAGCTTCATAAGAGCTTGTGTTGAACTCTGAACGTTTTAGGGAAACTGAATTATATTTGGTGGAGAACTGTTATGTACTTCACAAACACACAGTAAATTCTGCATTTAATTAGTTCTCTATAATATCTCAATAATAATATTTAATAATATTGTATTAACTTCATCAGTGTTAATTAGGAACACAATTCTAAACAAAATGGAACAAAGTGGTCAATGGATGAGAATGAGGACAGTCACACATGCTCAAAATGAACACACTCTCATCCAGTGGCAGAGCGAATTTGAATCTATGCCTCACTTCGATTGCCGTGCCCTAACAGAAAAAGCCATAGAACAAGATGACAAGATTGTTGTTGGTTTGACTATCTGATGCAGCTGGAAGTCAGCACTGAACAATGTCTACAACACGGTTTTACAAGCCATACAAAAAAGAAATGCTTTCATATTTTATTTCATATTTAACTGCCAAGCACATCACAGTCCCTGTTCGTGGCTGGAGTGCTGACAAGACTTCAGCGAGCCCCCTCAACATGAAATGTTCGATACAAAGTTCAACTGTTAGGTAAAGCTGACAGGGTGTTTTTTTTGGCATTTCGCTTTATTTGGATAATGACAGTAGAGAGAAGCGGGAAAGGCAGGAAAAAATGGTCTTCTTCAGTTATTTGTTGATTGTATTTTGTATTATTAATCCGAATAAGTAACCAAAAATTTCCAACACTTCCCTTGACATGTAGTGAAGTACAAAGTAAAATGGAAATACTTAAGCAAAGTACAAGTACCTCAAGCTCACTTAGGTACAGTGCTTGAAAGAATGTACTTAGTTACTTTCCAGCACTGTAATGAAGTGACAAGCAGAGCGCAGTGTGACATTTTCCATCACATACACAAACACTTTGCTTTCACTAATAATTATATCAGAGATTTTTGGGTTCTAAACATATAAATCGGAGCAGCAGTCAAATGACTGTTGTAATTACACATTAACTGCTCAGCTATTCCTCCTCGACATGATTCCTGACCGTAAAGCCTTAGTAGCCTATTACTGTCACTGTCATACACTATATCTAATTATATTCAGCCTACATACACTTCACATCTGACACCTATTATATTTGTCAGGGTTCTCTTCATATAGAAGGGTTGTGCTTCAGTTTTTTTATATTATATTGTTGTACAAGTAATCAGCCTACTGTACACTTTTTATACAAAGTTTTTTGTTGATTTCTTTCTTTTCCTTTACCAAAAATGAATGGGAGGAAGTAAGTCAAATCAACTTCATCCTTCGCCCACTCTGCCAGCAGATTACTGTTGTGTTACCACAGGATAATGGTAATATCTCCAGTGAAAGTAGGCCTCAGCTCTATGTTACCACCAACCACAACGTATCTATCTTCGACCAGAGCAGAGTTCAGCACCAGCCAAAAGCCCCACTGTCAGCGAACCAAACCCCGGTGTGTCTCTCATCGTCCACTGATCAGTACAGGGACTGAGGAGGGGGGCTGTAGAACTCACCCACTTGACTGCGAGCAAAAACAGGTGTGAGGAGATCTACAGAAGGCGTCACTACGGTGTGGAACACTCCAGGGGTTTCACTTCGCACCTGTTCTTCCTGCGTATTGTACTAGGTGGACCTTTATATAGAATTCTCTGTATATGCTGGTGCGTGCGTCCTCCGCACAGGTCATATCCACGCGGCTGCACTGTTGCACACATACTAAGTCTACTTATAGCTGTATGCGTAACATGGATATGTGATGTCACAACTATATAGGATACTACTTACGAAAGGCCCGGTTGGCGAGCCAGAGCCAGTGCATTTAGCTCGCAGACGGCGGCGAAATCACAGTAGTAGTTTTTGGATTTTATAAAGAGACTCAAGCATTGCAGACGCCGAAAATGCGATTTCTTATGAATGATTGCTTCAACTTCTAGCGAACAGCCCCCTCCTGTCCGACGTAAACATGCCCCAATGCCAGGACGAAACCTGCTGACAGTGGAATGCAATTAAACAGAACAAAAAGTGTTCAGAGAACAGGTGAGGCAAGTTCCACGTGGTTAAGCACAGTTTTACTGAAATTTCACACGTGGTGCTGCACATTACAAAAGCCAAGAACAGGAAGGGGTTCTGGTCATAACTGTTTTGGGTGATGTTTGGGTGGTGGGTTTTCTTCGTTATCCGCGAATATATGCGCGCAGCCATCGCAGCCGTAAGACGCTACTGGTTTCATTAAGGTTTCGTCATATCGTGAGTCATGGGGTTTTATGGGTAGTGGTGAATTGTGAGAGAATTTAGTATGGTCATCCTTATAATTTTGTGTGGTAATTCTGCGATTGGTTTGCCACAGTCTCTCGTAAGCGCATGGAGGAGGGACCCGCGGAGAGCATGTGTCCTCCCAGATCCATCCTTGATCTGCAACGACTGTTGGACATGGCCCGACCTCGACCCCGAAAAGGCTCCTAAGGTCATAGACGGACGGTGTCCTATCCATAGGCATGATCCTGAGATTGGTGAAGTCCTTGAGGCATATTTGTGACTAGGATCCTGGGCGATATGAATATAATTTGACATGACTTGGGGATGATGTCACGTGTGAGGCACCTTTATGAATATCGGGGGCGTCATTCAAGGTCTCAGGGATTCTACTTGTACTCCGTAAAGCGAAATGCCATTTGCGGTATTTCTGATCTGCTGGGATCTCTCAGCAGTCGTGGAACGCTAGCAATGGGAAGGGTTCAGACACAAGGCAGACAGACTCGTTCCACCGATGAGTGTGAGATGGAATGATGACAAACATAGTGAAGACACGAGCTCGCTTCTCTACATATAACCCTTGGAGTCTACTGTTCCCACACCCGGCGCTTACTGCTTTCTAACCAGAATACATACAATCATGAACATGGTTACCAGCACGCTCCTAAAGACCAGCCTCCATATTTCCATGGTACACACTTGGCGGCAATGTCATGATAGGTGACTACAATCAAAGATGCACTAGGAATCCGCCCATATTATCAAAACATCTCAGGTCCCTAGACAGGGATTTACGTCTGAATATCTTAATCGTGACATGTTTATTTTAACACAGCTGTCTTTACACTCCCATATCAATCAGATGAGGAAAAATTACTATCTCTCATCTAAAATAATTATTAAGCATCTCTCATAAAACAATA